AAAAAAAATAAAATTTGATCTGTTAAATGAGCAAAAAGATAGTCAAAATTTTGGGGAAATAATGTTCATAGAAGCAAAACTCAGTCACAAAAATGAAATAGAACATAAACAAAGTGTTCTATACTGTGAAGTGATTAATAATGGCATGGACTATTATGAAAGCTTTGGAAATTATGGTTTAGAAAAAATTCAACACCATGGTAATACTCATTACAGGTCAAAGGGAAATTCAGGATGCAACCTGCATCATCCTAATATTGTGTTTGTTTGTGTATGTTCAGAAAGAAAATACTACTAGGCCACTGAGTTTCTAATTTTAATCTTGGCTTGTCACTTATTAGTTTTATGACTTTGAGTAGCAATTTAACTGCTCTGTGGCTCAGTTTCTACATCAGAATATGTGATAATACAGCTGTTTTAAGAGTTAAAATTTTAAGCCGGATATGGTACATGCCTGTGATCCCAACACTTGGGAGGCTGAGGCTGCAGGATCCCCACTCTTGTGTTACACAGTGAGCTCAAGGCAGTCTGAACTACATAGTGAGATAACCTGACTCAAAAACATAGCTAAAAATTAACACATACATAACAAATATTCTGGTTGACATTAGGTACAACTATAAAAAATTAAATCATATATAAAAGTTAGAATTAAATAGTATCCACACAGCTAGAAAGTTGATGTGTCATTTCTAGTCTAGGATCCAGAGTTAAAACTTTTTCTATTTACTTTTCCCCTTAATTGTGTAATTGTAGGTTGAGTGGGATGAGGCATATTATCTACTGCAAGTAAAAATAATTGACCTTCAGTATCTCTTCTGTCAATTTATAAGCTTTACTAAACTCTTAACCAACCACTGATGGGTAGTAACAATTTCTTTTTCAATCAGATCCCTTCTCAAGTCTAGAACTTTGATGCTTTAATTGAGTTGGATATTTTTGAACTTCGAAGTTGAAAACTGTTTAGAGTTATTTTCATTTCAATTAGGATTGTTATAACACTAGAAATTACAAATTGGTTTTTGAAGGGCATAGGATAGTTTCTCATTAATGTTTTGGAGTTTTTCTAACTATATTGAATTTTAGTTATTTTGTTAGGAAAAATAAAAGAGGGAAGTTTTTATTGTAGTGCCCACTCTGTTTCACACTCAAAGATTTGCTTTTCTTTTCTTCATTAAATTAATTTTTGAATTATAATTGCAAAACATTATAATATACACCATCATGTATTAATATATCTACCCATTGTGGAATGGCTAAATCAAATTGTTTAATATATACATTACCTCATACTTACTTTTTGTGGTGAAAAGACCTGGATCCCATTCTCATTGGGAAATGATATTATCTTTGGATGTGTCTCAAGGATGAAGCTACTTGAGCTGTGGACTGTGCTGAGAGAGATGGACCAAAGGTGCAGGGGAGGCTTGTGATTGTCACTTGTCTTCTCATAATCTTCTCCAAAGAATGGATACATTTTTAATGTTACAATCTTTTAAATTTTTGATTGATACATATTTGCAAATAATTATGAAGTCCAATGTGATGATTTAAGGCTTACTTATGGTGCAGGATATTGAACCAAGGGCCTCACACATGCTAAGTGTGTGCTCTACCACTGGGCTACAGCCCCATACTCAGGGAGATGTGAAATTCATGCGTATATCAAGTAGTGATCACCTCAGGGTGATTAGCATAGCTGTTAGACATATTAGACATTAAACTTTTTGTAATTTCTCTATGGACGTACATTCAAAGTCTTCTCTATTTAACACATTAAGTATATAATATATTAGTGTTAATTTTATTCACCCTCTGTGCCACAGAACCCCAGAATTTATTCTTTCTTATGGATACATCATACACATCACCCACTTTTCATACTCTCAATTTTTATAAAATCAACTTTTTCAAATTTCATATATAAAGGAGATCATGTGGTAGTTGTCCTTCTGTGCCTGACTTTTTTTTCTTTTTTTTTTT